GTAGGTGCTTCCTGTATGTTAGTCAAATGAGCATTGATAGCAGTTGGAGCAAATACTCACACAGCACTTCCTGGGGGCCAGGCATAGTTCTAAGTGCTCTGTATGCACTCGTCATTTGACCCTCACCACTGTGCTGTGAAATGGTTACTGTTGTTGCCCCCATTTTACAGACAAAGGAACTGAGGCACAGAGGGGCTAAGTGACAGACCCAAGGTCGCACAGTGGTGGAGTCACAGTTGAGCCCAGGCAGTCTGATTCCATGGCATATGCTCTTTTTAGAATAAGAGGGGTGAGAAGGTATGGATAGTTGAGTTGCATGGACCCCCTCCATCCTGACCACACCCCAGCCCCAGTTTCTAGTGCCCTTAGGGACCCAAGCCTGTGCTGATAGGTGAGCAGGCAGCAGAGAAAGTGATACCTTTTAATTTGGTGGCCCACAGGAATTTTTTCTCCCCTGAGGTCTTAAACTGAGCATGTTTCATGTGTAATTAGGGTGAGCACACACAGACGCAAGTGTCATCCTTGCGCAAGATTTCCACGTCGTTGCACTGAACTTAGCAGGACACACTTTGTTTCCCAGTCACCAAAGAGAAACCACATTCTGGCCTGTCACCCCTGAGGGCCAGAGCAGCCACATCAGGTTCTAACCAAGATCCTGGGAATGTTGTGTGGACTGAGGGCTTTGCTGATGAAACTGCTGTGTGAGAACTGTGTGCTGCTTAGGTTCAAGTGGAGAGGAGGAACCCAAGCGGTGGCTCGGAACCTCTGCTGCCAACTCTCTGCATCGACTTCTTTAGGCATTTATTTCCCTCACCCTTCTCAGTAACCTTACAGGGTCTAGTCATCATAGCTCCATTTTTACAGATGAGGAAGCTGATGTTCAGAGAGGTGCAGTCATTTGTCTAAGGTCATACAGCGAGGAAGGGGACCAGCTGAGATTTGAACTGGGCCAGTCTGATTCCAGGGTCTTAACTCTTAAATAGATGGTTGTAAAGCAGGGCCAGAATTAAACCTGTGTCTGTGATACCAAAACCCTGAATTCTTCCAGCACACCCCATGACTTCCCTGTGCTCTGATGGGATCCATAAGAAAAAAGTGCACCTGTCTGCTTCTGGGGAGAAAAACCACATTAGACAGAGCCAGAGCCACCTCCAGCTGATGCCAGATCTTATGTTAGCCTTATGCCTTAGAGTTAAGAATCTCCAAGAAGCAGCCAGCAGGAGCTGGTGGGGGCTGCAGGAGGGAGTGGAAACAGGAAGAGGAGGTGGAGGCAGGGACGGGAAGAGGGGACACAGAGGTCACAGGGAGCAAGAATGCAGCGCCGCCATAGAACTCAAGAAAGACTGCAATTCCCTATTTCCTCTCATGTCAGAGGAACCCGACTCAGGTGTTAATAATTCTGAAATTATTTATCAACTGCCTGCTATGTGCCAGGCCCATGCTAGGGGTTTGGGGACATGTCTGGGGGCAAAACTGACAAGGTCCCTACCCACACAAGAGGTTACATTCTGATTATGGGAAAAGACCCACCAAGAAGTGAAAACACATGTAAACAAATGACTGGGCAAGGTCATTTGTAACAACTCTGGTGATAAGTGTTATGAAGAAAATATGACAAGGGGAGGTGATCAGAAGATGGGGTTGGGGTCAGGGTTTCTGTCAGAGGCCTGTTGGAGGATGTGTCCCGAAAGAGTGGAAAGAGCTAGTTCTGGGAACAACCATGGCTTGCTGACCACATGGGACACCGGCCAGCTGCCTTGAGACCCACTCTTTGTGTCTAACTCACCCCTATTCCATTTGCTCTCCGCTTGCAGGTTTGACATCTACAGGAAGGTGCCCAAGGACCTTACGCAGCCAACGTATACCGGAGCCATTAGTGAGTACTGACCTCTCCCGACCCCTTCTTTCCCCCACCCCCGGCACCTGCGTCTTCTCTCTGTGCAGAACTTCTAGGTCAGGGAGGATAGAAAAACAGGAGGGAGGGAGGAAATGGGGAGCATCTTGCCAGCCCGTCATGTATTTTCTCATTTCATCTCTGTCCTTACCGTAACCCTGCAAGATACAGGCATCATCTGTTTCTGGAAGGATACACAAGAAATTATCAATAGCAGCTGCCTCTGGGGGAGTAAACTGGGGCTCAGGGGTGGCAGGGAGATTTGCATTTTTCTTCATAACTTTGAAACGATTTGAGTTTCACTTAAGCATGTTTTTACCCATTTTTTTAAAAATCACAATCTCTTGAGATACCATCTCACTCCAGTTAGGATTACTAATGTCCAAAAGACAGAATCATAAATGCTGGCGAGGTTGTGGAGAAAAAGGAACCCTCTATACTGTTGGTGGGACTGCAAAATGGTGCAGCCTTTATGGAAAATGGCTTGGAGTTTCCTCAGACAATTACAGATAGATCTACCATATGACCCAGCTTTTTCACTGCAGGGAATATACCCAGAGGAATGGAAATCATGATATTGAAGGGATACTTGTACTCCAATGTTTATTGCAGCACTATTTACAATAGCCAAGAGTTGGAACCAGCCCAAATGTCCACTATAAGATGAGTGGATACAGAAACTGTGGTATATCTACCCAATGGAATTCTACTCTGCTATAAAAAAAAAAATGAAATACTACCATTCACAGCAATGTGGATGGACTTAGAAAAAGTTATATTAAGTGAAGTGGGTCAGGCACAGAAAGAGAAATACCACATGTTCTCACTTATTTGTGGGAGCTAAAAATAAATAAATAAATGCACAAACAAACGGGGGGAGGCAGAGAAGAAGCCACAACAATCACAATTCCTTGAACTTGTTAAGACAAGTGAACAGATATGATGTTGATGGGTGGAGCGGGGAGCAGGAGAGGGAAGGGAGGAATCAGTAAAGGGACACGAAAATCAACTACAATGTATATTGATAAAATTAAAAAAAAATTTTTTTGCATTTCCCAGAATTACAGTGAGACCATGTTTATGACATTGAGAGTACAAAATCTGCCTAAAACAATATGCAAAATGCAATAATCATAAAGAAAAAGATTAATAAAATTTACTTTATCAAAAAATAAAAATAAAAATCACAATCTCAAACCCATTCTTCAATAAAAGGAACCAGGGCTATTTAGAAAAATGGATGATTCCAGGGGTAGGCAGGGAAACCACAAAATGAGCCCCGAGCACCTGTGTCAGTAGAACCCGGGAGCCAACTTGAAGGAAGAACCCAAAGACCAGAGCTGGGGCAATTTGAGTAACAAAAGAAGTAATGATGTTACTGGTTGAGAACCCAAAGAATTAAGAAAAAGGTCCCTGAGTCCAGACTGATATCAATTAATGGGGGAGAAGAGACAAATCTTTCTTTACAAAAGAATTCCAAATAATACATGTAGATACTCTCCCATCCAGGAGGTAGCATTTAACTCTCCCTCCTTGAGTATGGGCTGGACTTAGTAACTTGCTTCTGGAGAATAGAGAATAGAAAGGAAAAACAGTAACTTTGCTATGGGAAAACCTGGAGACACAACCTAAACCAAGTGATGAAGGCTGGCGTCCCCAGCAGTAAGTCACATGGAAGTTGTGTACCTCTGATGTGCTGTGTGGAGGCACCTCGCCTCTGTGGGATCACCCCCCAAAACAACAACCCAGTCTAATTATGAGAAAACATCACAATCCCAAATTGGGGGACAGGCTACAGGGTACATGACCAGTACTCTTCACAAGTGGAAAGGCCTTGAAAAACTAAGGGAAGACCCAGGAACTGGCCAAAAATTCAAATGAAGCTTCTTGCCCCATTCCCACAACCAACCAGCAGCTCACACCTCTTTCCTCAGTCTCTACCATCTCTCCCTTGTCTAGTTTGTTAACAATCAAGTGTGTATCCTTCTAGAATGTTTTGAAACATATTCAGGCTTTGATGTTCCTATACCATTATTTTAAACGCAAAAGGGCGCCTTCTGTACATACTGTTCTTCTCCCCCTTTTTTTCAATTGATATATCCTGGACACCTTTCCTACCAGCACATAAATGGCTACCACATTCTTCCTGCCAGCTATGACATATTCATTCTCTGGCTGACCTATGGTTTATGTAACCAGCCCTAAAAGGGGGCATTCCCAATTCTGGTTCGTTGCTGTTACAGACACCCTTGTCCATATCTTTTTATGTCCTTGTATGGTTATTTCTGTAAGGTAACTTCTCTAGAGGAGGAATTACTGGGTCAGAGGGTATGTGCATTCTAAAATGTAGAAGGTCCTGCCAAATGGCCCTCCAGAGACAAGGTTTGATATGCAGTCCCAACCACAGCGTGCCAGACAGTGAATTTCCTTACATGAGAGGAAAGGCGTGAGGCATAGAAAGCCAGCCCTTAGCTACCATTTAATGAACAAATATTTATGAACCAGGTCCTGGGGCCAGCCCCCCAAGTGCTAGGACCACATTGATAAAAGGGCTTCCGTCTTTGTTCTTGAGCATACAGCTGAGCAGGGCAGGTAGACGCAGACACACAACATTTCATTATGTTGTGATGGGCACTATTAATAACTATGGAAAGAGCAAGGGCACGGGAGACTCACAGATCAGGGTTTGAATTTTGCCTCCTCCGCTTACATGGATGTATGACCTTAGACAAATTCCTAGACTTCTCAGAATCTTGGATCTAGTGCCCTGTTTGCTGGCTTCACCAGATTTCCTACTAGCAAGCATTCTCAGGGGGTCACATTCCTACTCTCCAGTGCCTGAGTCAGTTTCAGAAGCAGTCTGGAGTCAGAGAGCCTTAGAGTCTCACCCAAACATGGATTGAAAAACCTTCCTCAAGCCTTCACTATCAGAAGGCCCTTCTGGTTGAAATACTTCTTATCTGCCTTCATGTTTTTCATTCATTCATTCATTCAATAAATATTTATTCTGTACCTTCTCTGAGCCATGCTACAGTAGTGCTGTGACTTCATCTCTGTCCTCCCAGTCTGGGGCCAGGGGAGAGGGAACAGACACAACAGAGCATGTGTGATCAGGGCCTTTGGACCTCTTGGGTCTTGGCTGAGCAGACACAGTGCTTATCATGTCCACCTGCTGAGTTGAGCAGGCTTTGGTCCAAGACTTGAAAAAGCACACAGGTTTCAGAAAGAGGCCTTCTTCCCATCCCCATCCTCCCACCTCTGCTCTGGATTAAGTTAGAACTTAGTGGCATGTCCACAGGCATGGGGCAAGGAAGGCAGCTAGAAGAACTGGTCCATCTGAGTCAGCACTGACCTTCAAAAACAATCCCTATTTTGTGCCTGTGCATCATTACAGCATCCAGTGGGTTGTTAGGGCTTGGGGGTAGGATTTGGGGAGTAGCACACATGATTCTGAAATGTGGGTCCTATGTGATGCTGGTCAGAAAAAGTGCAAGATTCCAGATGGAGGATGTTTTGACTGCTTGGTGAGATTCTTTTTCAGGAGATATAATTACCAGTTTGTAGGTGAGAAGGGAAGAACAGGAACCAGGAAATGTGTATTGGTAATTGATCTTCTCCAATGGATTTGTTCAGCAGCTGGAGAAGATATTTGAAATTAATTTCTAAGCTGTAAAACACACACACATACACACACACACACAAACCATTGTCACTGTATAAACTGATGTGGAGCCTATTTAGACATAGATTGCTGAGTGAGCAAAGCCCAGTTGAAAAGGATGTGTTCATTATGCTGCTGTTTGCTTAGAAGAGAAAGGAATTTGTATATAGATCTGTGCTTTTATGTCTGTGGAAGGACACATAAGACTGTAACAGGGAAGGGTGGATTGTGGACAGGAGAAAGAGACTCACAGATTATACCTTTTTATGCAGCTAGCTTTTTTTTCCTTATAATATGCATGTATTACCTACTTTTTAAAAAAAGTGAAACCCTTAAACACCACTCCTATACAACTTTTTTAAAGTTTGGAAGAAATTGGGAGTAGTTTCAGCATCGTCTCGGTGTGGTTTTAGAGACTCAGCGGGCAGTCTGGGGACATCCCTCCCTTCACTTGGAGCCTGAGTTCTTGGGATTCCTTTTCTCAGGGCATTGGTTCTAGAACACATGGGTTCCAGTCCTGTCTCCCCTGCCCCATACAGGGTAGCCCTGGGTCAGTCTCTTCGTCAAGCTGAGCCTCCATATCTACACCCTTAACATGGGATCATGCCCCGTCAGAGTTGGTGGGAGTGTGAAATGACAAGATGTCTGTTAATGTCCTCATGACAGGGCGTGTAGTAGGTGCCCAACAAATATTTGAGATCGATGGATGGATGGATCAATGGATGGATGGATGGGTAGATCGACGGATTTTTGGCTGCTATTTTAAATAGGTAGGTAGATAGACTAATAAAAATGATATAAATAACTGGCTTTAGCGTCCTTGATGATGGCTCTGCCAGTTCAGGTGCAAGCTGCTGAGAATGTAGCAGAATTAGCAAGTGGGACTAGGAATTTTTTTCTTTCTTTTCGGGAAACTAAGGGCCAACCACCTTGTCAAATCACCAAACACTCCCAACATCTCCCTGATTAAAGTCCTACTAATGAGCTAATATTCAAGTGATTATTACCTGCCAGGCACTGTTTCAAGCCCAATCTCCATGTTATTTAAATCCTCGGAGGAGCCCTATGAGGCGGGTACTATGACTTTTGCCATTTTACAGATGAGGAAACTGAGGCACAGAGACATTAAGAAACTTACCCAGGGACACACCGCAGGTTCAGTAGAGTCGTGGGGCTACAGTGTGACCCCAGAGCGTGAGCCCCTGCCCACTACACTCCTCTGTTATAAGCCCAGGTGAGGCATGTTCTGCCCTCCTTTTGTACTTTGGGGACTGATTCTCTGACTCATGCAATACCTGTTAGTGCCTTCTGTGTCCCCAGCCCCAGGCCAGGCACTGGAACTATGGAGTTTTTGCCTTCTGGGATATCAGTCTAGTGGAAGAAACAGCCACAGGTAACCAATAAAATGTAGAAAGTGTTCAAATAGAGACAGGGAGCACAGAGGAGAGTGACCAGCTCCACCTCGGATGATGGAGGAAGCTTCCCACCAGCAGGGACATTTGAGTTGGTCCTCAGCCTGGGAGAATGAGTAGAAGTTCACCCAGCAGAGAGGATAACCATGGAAGAATAGGGGAGATGCGGAAGATCATTCCAGGCATAGGAACAGAGATAATACATGCATTTCGGGAACAGCAAGCAGCTCGGTGTGGCTGGGTGGTTGGACGTTGTGGGGAGTGTCATAGATGGGGCTGGTGAGCTGAGGAGGGCCAGACTCTGGGGCACTTGTTATGTCCTGCCCCAAGTAATGACTTCAAGGGCTGCAAACTCCAATGTCTTCATGGGTAAGGCAGGTGAGATAAAGATGAGTGACGTGGGCTGACTCCAGAACTCTGGTCTACACTCTGCATTTCAAACGCATTGAACCATTCTTCACTTCTGTAAAGAATTGTCTCTTCTCTTGAAGCACAGCTCTTGGTATCTTCATTTTCCTACTTCTGAGAGAGATGTGAGCACAGGGTTGATGGCACCACAGAGGATGGAGATAAATGGCATCAGACACTCTGCCTCAGCCTGGGCATCAGGGAGGCAGGAGGGAGTGATGGGGCTTGTGGCAAGCTGGTGGACTCAGATGCCATGTGGGAACAAGGGCTCAGTGTTCTGGAGAAACCAGAAATCTGGACTTTCATGTAAAAATCTCCTGATTCAATGTGGACTCGAAATTTTAAAAAAATATGTAGGTACATCAAAAAGTTCATGGAAAAATACCATTAAAAGATAAGAATCTTTCCGCGAACTTTTTGAAGTATCCTCATATATCACTCAAGCCAACCAGAACACATTTGTTGGCCACCAACTTGCAACCTCTGTTTTTGGCTGAACTCTGCATCAAAGAGCTCTTGTGGAAGAAAGCAGGGCTGGCCCCCAGAAGGATTGCCTGTGGGGGGAGGTTGATCCAGACCCGAGGGTCAGATCAGTACCAAAGGCAGCCTGCCTTCTGGGGGTGAAGCTGCTTCTTATTAAGGCCATGAGTAAGAAGGGACTTTAGGAACCCCTACTCCCACCCTGCTTCTGGGGCCTCTTTTCTCCAAGGGCGGAGGAGGTGGGTGGGGTGGCCTCCCTGCATCAGCGCCCACCACCCTTAACTGCTTGGACCTCTGTGTTGTTTCTTCCAGTCTCTATCTGCTGCTGCCTCTTCATCCTCTTCCTCTTCCTCTCGGAGCTCACCGGATTCATAACGACAGAAGTGTAAGTCACGCTTCCCTGATGGGGCCTTTCAGGGCCCTCTGGGACCCCAGACAAGAAGAGGGAGGGGTGTTAAAAAGGAGAGAGGTCTCCAAACCTTTCAACTTCTTCTTCCAAGCCTGTGGCATCGGTTGCCTCCCTGCTTCTTAAAAAGGTTTTAAAGTTAGAGCAAAGGGAAGTGTTGCTTTGATAAAGCTAAAGAGAACATTTAGGTTCAGTTCAGTGGGGGGAAGGGGAGCCTCCTGACTTCACAGATGAACAGAAATCATCTGCTCATCTGTGCCATCCCTTTGTTTGGCCAGTGGGCTTTTTTCCCTCTGAATCATCTCAGGGTCATTTGATGTGAGAGCAGAAGAGTTCAGAGGAATGGATGTGCAGCTTCCTAGCAGAGGGGGGCGAAGTGGCCGACAGCAGAGCCCGGCCCCCTCCACTAGATGCGTTCTCATTTCCCAGGCCCACACTCAGTAAGGCATCAGCGTGGGCTTCCTGTCAGCGACTGACACAGAGTTAATCCATCCCTGATTCCTAGAATTATCGTCGTCCAGATAACCTAGTAAACACTCTGGGGAGTGTGTAACACAGAATGCCATTGGAATTATTCAGTCGCAACCTCATCGGATACCCCTCAGAGATGGAATTAGACCCAGGAGCTTCCTGCCTCTGGCACTGGCTTGAGGCTTCAGAGCATCTTCATTTCTGTGTTTGCAACCCAAAAAGTCATCCTAGAGCTAGGCCCTGGCCACCCACTCCCTGTTCAACACTGGAATTTTATTTTTCAACTCATGGAATTTCTTGGTTTCCTTTGCCTCCCTCAGAGCCACAGGACAATAGGAAGCTAAAAATATAGCTGCTTAGCCCAAGATGGTTCTTGTTGTTATACAAGCATTATCATCTCTAATCCTGAAACCACCCCAGGATGTAACTCTCTCCTTTTACAGAAGAGGAAACTGAGGCTCACAAAAGTGAAGGGACTTGCCCACAGTCAAGGGTGATGGTAGCTCCAAGGCCTGTCTGCCTTCTGAGCCCATGTGAGTGCTTGTCCTGAACACTGAATGGCCTGGTAAGATGGGAGCACTGGTCTTGCCTCCCCTTAACTGTTTCTGGATATAGCTTCCCACTTCCCACCTTCCCTGTCATTCTGATCCTGTTTTTAACCTTGATGGCACCAAAGCCTAGGGGGCCTCATAGAGTGGTAGGAAGAGCACTGGACAAGGTATCAGGAGACATAGGATCAGGTCTTTGCCTGTTTACTACTTTGCTGTGTGACCCTGGGCAAGTTATTGAACCTCTCTGGGTCTCAGTACTGCTGGCCAAATGAGGGAGGGTAGACCAGAGTCAAAGCTCCCTTCCAGATATGGAAGAGGCTTTGTCTGCTTCCCAAGACATGACCCACTGGTCATGCAAGGATCAAAGAAGGGGTTTTGTTCTCCCCAATCCCCAAATGTGGGGTGACCTTGTCGATTTCAAGGATCTTCCTCCTGTGCACATTTGGGCCACTGGACATCTCAGAGATCACCTCATCATGAATTGGAAATGGAAGCAAGGAGAGCAGTAAGAGATTGAGACTTGCCAGCATTATGAAATACCAATTATATGCCAGGCACCCGCTGGCATCTCCAGGGTACAGACCACTATCTGGGAGGGGAACTGCTGTACAGACTCGTCATGTTCTGAGCAAGGTGAGAGGGGTACACATGTGACAGCAGAAAGGACCAGGTGTCAGCAAGGTGGCTTCATCTATTGTGGGCAGGAGCACCAGCATGTGCAAAGGTCCTGGGGCAGGAATTACATGGGGTATGTGAAGAACAGGAAGAAGCTGGTATGGCTGGAGCAAAGTGAGCAGATGGAGGAGGGGACATGGTGTAGGTAGAACCAAGACAGGCCAGGCCCTGTACGCTGCTGTATAACCATGGAGCTCACTCCCTGACTGTGAGCTCCAGGAGCACAGGGCAGGTGCACTTATTCACTGCTGTGTGGTTCTGCTCTCAGAGGAGCTTAAAATGCTGGCGCTGGACACAGACAGTCAGCAAGCAAACAATTAGACTCTTACCAGTTAGTGACGAGCAGTGCTGTGAAGAAAAAACAAAGGCAGGGTAGGAGATGACAGGGTTCTGCAGGTGCGTGACATTTTGTGAGGGTTAAACAAGATTATTTAGCTGAAAGGTACTTAATAGAGTACCTGATATACTTTAATATCAATAGTTCCATATTTCTTCATATATTTATTCATTTCCTATGTATTCCCCACCTAACTCTAAAAAGGTATTAAGTCTGCTCTGTACCTGGCATATAATAAGTGCTCAGTGAATGTTAATTTCCTTGTCCCCTCCATCCCCACTTCCTGGAGATAAAAACGGGCCTCTCTTGCTCCTGCTGACAACATGAGGGTGGCATAAGTCAGCTCAGCCCCCAGCGAGGAAGGGCACAGAGGCGATGGGCTGCAGACGAGTCAGTTCTGACGTCAGAGCTGCAGACTGGAGCAGGTGGGGCTGCACCTGCTGTGTGCCTGCCAGTGCTGGGGAAGGGCCACTCAGCAGGGCCGGACAACTCATGCCATTTACCAAGGGCAAGGCTGGCTTCCTTCTGAAGAGCACAGTGTGTTCCTACTGCTCCTCACTTCTTCTCTAGGACTGCCTCTTCCATGCTCCTGGGAGCACCCAGACACTCCGATACCACCTGAAGTCCCTGAAGAGGAAGAAAGAGGAGGGGGTGAGGGGAGGGATAAAAGTGCTAGGGACCATTAATTGAGTGTTTGCCTTGCTTCTGGCTCTGTGCTAAATATTTCTCCAACTGCAGTGTCAGTGGCTGGGGAGAGGGAGGGAGGCAGGAGTAAGAAGAGAGACCTGTCCTCAGCCGAGAGCCAGAGCCTTGGAGATGCAGTGACCTGAATGCCCCCTTGTCTCCATGGTGCAGGAGTCCAGAGTCACAAGGATGAACCCTGAGGACTTAACTAACAATCAGGAGGAAAAAGGATTGCCCCTTTCGGGTCTTCCATTTATCAAAAGCTTCTCTGACTCCTGGGAAGCCCTGCAGGATTGGGAAGAATTGATGGTCACAATTTTCTCTTTTCCGGGGTGGCTGGCCCTCTCTGGTGGTTTGTGATCACGGTGGGTCAGCACTCCCTCCCCCCATGAGATTGTAACCCAAGGAAATGAGGTCACCACTGGTTGGATCAACATCGCGCCAACCCCAGCCTGCGGTTATCAGTGACATAAGACGCTTATTCTGGCCCTGGCCTGGTGGGGAGGGAGGCATGTTTGTTTGAGCTGTTGGGCTCCAACCTGGGCTTTGGACAGGCTGGTAATTATTCTTGGGAAAATGTCCCACAGGGTGTTCTGAGACCCTGTGTTCAGGGGAGAAGCCCGCTCCTTGGAGAACGTGGCTGCAGAATGCTCCAGCCTTTGACTGCCTAGGCTCTGTCTGCCTTTAATAATTATTAACCCGATGGGGATTTGTAATAATAAAATGTAGTAACTGGAACTCTCTACTGATCATTTAAAGCATAATATAACTTATGGTACTTTCCTTGTGAGTGACCACATGCTGGCCGCCTAGGTTAGCACTTTGTAAAGATCATCTCACTTTATCATCACGAAATCCCTTGAGGTAGTTACTACTGTTAGCCACACTTTATACCAGGGGAAAACTGAGGCACCAGGAGGCCGAAACCACACAAGGTTAGTAAGTGGTGGAGCTGGAGTCAAACTCTGTCTGACGCCACAGCCCAGATTTGGCACCCCCACTGTGTCACCCCACCCTTCCCTGCCCAGAGCATTTCAGAGCCCTGGGCACGTGGCAGTTGAATGGAGCAATTGGATGCACACTTCTGGGCTGAGACGGCCAAGTGGGCAGATGGAGCCCCAGGAAGTAGGAGCTCGGAGGTTGTCTTGAACCGTGTCCTCATATGTTTCCCGTAGCAGGCCCAGAGTGGAGAAGCCAGCAGCTTAACCAAAGAGGAGGAGCCAAATGTCCCCCTCTGAGCCCACATTACCTCCTCTGACACTGGACTGTGGGCCAAGGCTGGGTAGAGAGCCGCAGATGTCTCATTAAGGAGCATTAAGGACCTTGCTCTTAGCACAGGAGGCTTGAGGGCTTCTGAGCACGAAGTGACAAGATTGGGTTTATGCCTCAGAAAGATCACCTCTTGTGAAGATGGGTTTGGGGCAGAGTGACCCAGAGGCCAAGGCCCCTGTGAGGAACTGGGTGGTGGGGCTAGGCAGAGGGGCTGAAGGTGCTGGGACCATGGCTTTGGAGTAGGGAGTGGGGCAGAACTGGGCAGCTGGTTGTGGAGGGACCATTTTTGGACACCCTGCTGGTAGGTTACAGATGTACTCATTTTCACCTGGAAGAGTCAGGATTTGAAACTCAAGGTCTCAGAGTGCTCAGTCGCATAACCTACATCCCTCCACTCCCACTCTCACCCCAGGCCCTTGCTGCAAGCCTCACTGCTGTGTAAGTTTCCATTCGATCAAATTATTAAGCATGGAGGTCAGCGAATTTAGGCAGGAATCTGAACTATTCAAGTGCTCTTCTAAAAGCAAATAAAATTGTTTTCCGTAGATGTCATCGGACTCACGCCTCAGCCTAGAATTTCAAGGCCCTCCACTGCATTCCACCTACACTCCCCCACCCATACCTCCTCAGCTCCTTTCTTCCCCTCTCCCTACAAGGCGACGCTGGGCCTGACTGAGCCCTCGACTTCCCGGCCAGGACCAGCGATCAGTGCATGGCTCCTGAGAGCTCCAGCTGAGCACTGCCTCCTCCATTCATACTCATTCCGCACAAGTTTGTGAGCATGTCCTCTGTGCTGAGGCTCAGGGAGCCCTTGTCCTGGTGGGGGAGTCACATGCTGCTACCCATCCTGGCGTGGCAGGTGGAGGTGACCAAGGGAGGCTTGTAGATACAAAGCAAGTGGACCTCTGAGCGCCTCCCTGCCCTGCAGGCACTTGGGCCATGGGGGACGGGGGGCACTCCTGAAGGTTATCAAAAAGGACAATGACACC